CCCACACTCATGCACATGCCCGGGCACACCCTGTGATCTCCCTGAGCACAGGTACCAGCCACAGGGCCCTCGCCAGCTCACCTCCTCAAACTTGGGCCCCAAACCCTTCACTCTGGGAAGCTCCCTTTAATAGCCAGGAGGCTCATGTCTTGCCCAACCCTGCAGCCCATCTCGAACATGTGCCGTCAGTCAGCGTCGTCCTGCATGTAGCTCTGGGGTGTCTGGCAGTCGGATCCCGTGTGGAAGCTGAGCACAGTCCGTGCGTGTAACTCAGGAGAAATGTGTGCAGAAACCTATGGCCTCATATATTCTGAACCATAAAGCCACAAAGACCGTGGATAATCACAGAGAGAGATGCACTGGCATATATAAGACACAGAGCCACCGGGGCCAAATGCAGGAACCAACACCTGGAAACATCCCTGACTGTGCCGGCCCAGCTGTGAGCTCACAGACACCTGCACACTCGGGCTGACCTACGGATGAAGGCACCATGGGGGGCCCTCACCTCCAGACCCGGGGGTCCACGTGACACACACCCACACACACACCCCAGCGGCGGCACAGCCACCTGGTTTCCTCTTCCTCTCAGGGACATTTCATGACTAGACCCCAAACCCCAGTGCCTTGGAGCAGGAGGACCTAAGTAAACTTCATATCCAATCCTTCCTCTTTTGACAGATGGGGTCCCACAAGCCCAGAGAGGGGCTGCAGCTTGCCAAGGGCAGGACTAGACCCCAGGGCTCCCGCCCCCAGCTCTGGAGTCTTCAGCCTCCCTCACCCGACTCCCGCCACCGCCAACCCCAGGTCTCTGGTAGACATGGGCAGGTGCCCACACACCTCCAGGCTGGCCCCAAACTTGGCGCTCGGGGGGCGGTGCTCTGGTTGTCTCTGGTCTGCAGCTGGAGGACCAGCCTGGGCAAGGGACACAGTGAATGGGGAGGGCAAGGAAAGGGCACTCAGCCGAGATGCCAGGGGGCCTAGACCACTGCTTCCCACCCTCTTTCCAGGCCCAGCGGGCCCCCAGATCCAGTAGGGTGTCCAATACCACTGAGTCTCCACATCCATCACCAGCCCAAGAGCACACGTGTATACATTTACCTCTTCCTCAGTTACACCCAGGGAAGGGAGTGTAGAAAACAGATACAGCGTTGGTATAGTACACCTACTGTGTGCCAGGCAACACGCCTCCATTTTGAAAATGAAGGAGCCAAGTGTTAGAAGTGTTCAGAGACGTGCCCAATACATATATCAGGTAAATGACCGAGCTGGGATTTGAACCTGGGCTGTCTCAGTCCAAATGCAATAGAGCTCCCACGTACCACCAGCTGCCAGACCCCCTTAAACCAGGCTGGGACTTGCAGGTCCACCTCTTCATTTGTCTTAGACCAATGTTTGTTGGGTAAGTACTGTGTTGGGTAATTTGCTCATTACGTTGCCTTTGTCCCCAGCCCCCTGACTGTCACCCCAGCTGCCTGCACACCCCTGCCGGTCACACCTGGTCCCAGGTTGTCCCGGGCCACCTCAGTGAGCTTCTTCTCGATGTCAAAGACCAGGAGCTTCACCCCATGGCAAGTGGCGCACTCGATGTGGGGGACAGCCTTGCAGGGGTAGGCGTAGATGATGCACGAGGGGGCCATGCCCAGGCCCAGCACCTGCTCCAGCTCCACATGGCATGGCCAAGAGCCCAACTGGTGACCCACTCCTTTGCTCCCACTGGATGGGACCATGAGGTGCCCGTGACTGAGTCCCTGCAATGTGCCAGGCACTGTTCCAGATGCTGATGGTTCTAGCTCAGAACCAACCCCTTTCCAATAACAGTAGCACCCAGGGGCTACTGTTGCACTTCACCGCACAGAAGGGTGAGACCTGCGGCAGGGCCTGGCGGAAGGCCCGATGGCAGCTGGCCAGTACGCCCAGGTCAGCCACCGTGAAGGGGTCTTGGCAGTCCTGCCAGGACAGGGAAAGAGGGAGGGAAGCCTGGGAAGTGGGTTATCTCAGCTAATCCTCACAATAACTCTTAAGTCCCATCTTAAAGATGGAGAAATGAAGGCTCAGGAAGAGGAAGTCAGGGACTTCTCTGGTGGCGCAGTGGTTAAGAATCCGCCTACCAGTTCAGGGGACACGGGTTCGATCTCTGGTCCAGGAAGATCCCACATGCTTCGGAGCAACTAAGCCAGTGCGCCACAACTACTGAGCCCACGCGCCTAGAGCCTGTGCTCCGCAACAAGAGAAGCCACCGCAATGAGGAGCCCGTGCACCCCAACAAAGAGTAGCCCCCCTCACCACAACTAGAGAAAGCCCAAGCGCAGCAACGAAGACCCACTAAAGCTAAAAATAAATAAAATTTAAAAAATAAAAAAAAGAAATAGGAAGTCACTGGCTCAAGGTCACACAGCAAGTACATGACAAAGACAGAATCTGAGCCCAGGTCTCCCAAGTCCAGGGAGCTTTGCTTTTAACCACTTTTCTCTACTCCCTTTTGACTTACACCCCTCTCCTCAGTAGGAAGGAGAAGTCTGTTGGGCCAGGGAAGGCTCTAGGTTACTTATTCTATAATCATCCAACAAAGATTTCTCCAGCACCTACTCTGTGCTAGGCTCTAGCTTGGGTGCTGGGGAAACAGCAGCGAACAGCCCAAACCAAAATCCCTGCCCTGTGACGCTCCTACTCAACTGAACCAGAGGGAGACAAGTATGAACTCATGCAACATGTGCTCGTTAAGCAACTACCATGTGCCAGGCACTGTGCCGAGGGCGGGGGTGGTGTGGGCAGAAGTACTGTATAAATTATTCCCATTTCGCAGATGTGGCCACTGAGGGTCCGAGGGCAGGTGTACCTCACCCAAGTTCTCACCGTTGGGAAGCAGCACAGTTGAGACTCAATCCCAAGAATGAATGGCTTCAGCTGAGACCTGAACGTCAGTCTGTTTTGTTTTTTGTTTTTTCTTTTTTGCGGTATGCGGGCCTCTCACTGTTGTGGCCTCTCCCGTTGCGGAGCACAGGCTCCGGACGCGCAGGCTCAGCGGCCATGGCTCACGGGCCTAGCTGCTCCGCAGCATGTGGGATCTTCCCGGGCCGGGGCACGAACCCGTGTCCCCTGCATCGGCAGGCAGACCCTCAACCACTGTGCCACCAGGGAAGCCCCATCAGTCTGTTTTGAGATATGGTCTATTTTTTTCCCTTCTTCTCTCCTCCTCATTGATGCCAGTGACTATTTCTGTAATTTATGCCCTTGGGGGAGGTATGTGGCCAAGGCAGAAAGAGCCTGCAAGTCTTTCTGACTTTCTTGGGGGAGCTTAGCCCTTGATAGAAGAGGTTGCTGAGTTGCAAAAAGAGTGTCTTAGTCACGCTGATAGTTGGAAAAATGAGCCTATCTGTGTCACTCAGTGTCCAGTCACGTCCCTCCTCCCTGGCCACACCCTCCCTGTACATGTGAGCTGCTGAGGTCGCTGTGACCTGCTGGCCCTTTCGGGCTGAAGCCACCACTTTGGAGCTGCCTTGCCCCTGGAATGCCAGCTGACACTCCCCGCAGGCTTACACCCCACCTCTGTGCTGTGACCAGAGCCTCCTGGCCTGTTTCAGGAATGCAGTTCCTCACGGAGCCGGCTCCTGCCCTGACTCTTCTCTTCTGCCAGCCCTGCCTGGGCAGGAGAGTGGGGAGGACCCAAGGATGGCAGAGATGGCAAGTCTCTTATGTCTGGGTGCCAAAGAAGTGAGTCTCTACCCAGAAAATAACCTGCTGTGTGACTTGGACAGTATTCTTCCTTTCCTCCTGTTTGCCAAGTGACCTGGTATAGCAGAGGTGTTAATCTCCTGGGCTTGAAATCACCCTGGCTTACTGCTCACTAACTGTGGGGCCGTGGGCAAATTACCTGACAGCTCTGAGCCTCAGTTCCCTCCTCTGAAAAATGAGGGGCAGTGACCTCAAGTGGCAGTGATGAGGATTAAGTGAGATAATGTACATGAAGTGCTTCACTTTTACTGTTGGCATTTGTGCTTGCGTTTCTGTCCCTATGAATTGTCCCCACCAGATTATGATAGCTTGAAGACAGGGAACACATCTTCTGCATTTGTGGGTCTCCAGTGATGCACACTAGTATAAGACTTGGTACAGAATTTGCTTCAGTGAATATTTGTAGAATAAGTAAATATAGGATGTCACAGCTAAGACACTTAAGATCTAGGATATATATCAAAGTCTGTCAGCTTCTACAACCTGTTCAGGATCAAGAAGAGAAAAATCAATGGGACAGAACGGACAGGCCAGAAACAAAGCTCAGAACAAAAGAGTTTAACACATCACCAGGGACTTGCCTGGTGGTGCAGTGGTTAAGAATCCGCCTGCCAATGCAGGGGACACGGGTTTGAGCCCTGGTCCGGGAAGATCCCACATGCCGCGGAGCAACTAAGCCAGTGCACCACAACTACAGAGCCCGCGTGCCACAACTACTGAAGCCTGCCCGCTCTAGGGCCATCGTGCCAAAACTACTGAGCCCGTGTGCTGCAGCTACTAGAGCCCATGCTCCACAACAAGAGGAGCCACCGCAATGAGAAGCCCACGCACCGCAACAAAGAGTAGCGCCCACTCACCGCAACTAGAGAAAGCCCACGTGCAGACCCAAAGCAGCCAAAAATAAATTTAAAAATTTTAAAAATTCTTTAAAAAAAAATCCCCAATCATCGAAAAAAACAACAACAAAAAATTTATAGAACAAATGGTGTTCGGACAGCAGGTGAGCAATTTGGAAAATAAAATGTATTTAGAACCTCACTTCTAACCGATATAAACATGAAATGATTTAAAGTGTCAAATATATGCTTTTAAACAATCCATAAAATACATTAAAATATAGTCAATTATGTATCATATCTTTGGGAGGGAGGATGATGTTTTAAGCTTGGATGTGACCAAAGAGATCATAGTGTAAACATTGAGATTTGATGGCATCTGATTTATAAATTATGTACATTCATAAACTCAGAACTCATTCTTTCTAGGAATCAGGAGACCTGTGACATGGTGCTGACATGGAGATAAGCTAACAGGGCCGTGTGACTTGAGTAAGTCTGCCCTCTCAGGTTTTGAGTCTCTCAACTGTAAAACCCAAGAAGCAGTGTAATGAGACAACTTAAGATCTTCATCTGAATTCCATCTCTGGTCAAATTATTTTACCTTTTTGATCCTCTATGTCCTCATCTGAAAAATGGAAATAATATTAGGATAGGACGCTAGGGCTATTTTGAGGACTGAATGAGACAACCAAATCAAGATCTTAGCTTAAACCCTGTTGGTTTAAATTACTGGGATCTGAGGGCTGTTTCTGTGCCATAACCTGGCCTCTAAAGGCTGGTACACAGTTTAGTACAAGCAGGTGCTCCGCAAATGGCTCTGACAGCCCTACCTTTCTCTGAGAGCTGGGACTTGCTCGTGCAGAGGTCAGGTGAGTACATGACTCTCAGCACAGCCTGCCTGATCATATGCACATTTCTTCTGGAACATTCATAGTTTGATCCTATGGACTCAGAATGGGATTGAAATGCAGGGTGCGACCTTGGTGAATAACTGGGGTTTGGTCCTATTAGATCCTGGGATGGCCATGTGGTTAAATGCCAAGATACCTCAGATTTTCTTTAATTGTGCTGTTAAAGGCCATGAAGCTTCATGAAGCCCACATTCTCTTGCCTTAAATGCATCAAAACCATCTGGTTTGTAGCAAGTCTAGAATCAAAGAAAGATGAGTCAGACCCAACATTTCTATGAGCCCTGCAGTTGGGTTAATGAATATTTATGGAACTCCTACTATGCATTGCAGAGTTTCACTGTTTCTTATAGTTCTCATGACAACCCCATGAAGCACTAATTACCATCTGTATTTTTTAAAGTTAATTTTTATTGGAGTATAGTTGATTTACAGTGTTGTGTACCATCTCTGTTTTACAGATGAGAAATCAGAGGCTCACAGATGTTTATAAAAAATTCCTGGGCTTCCCTGGTGGCGCAGTGGTTGAGAGTCTGCCTGCCGATGCAGGGGACACGGGTTCGTGCCCCGGTCCGGGAAGATCCCACATGCCGTGGAGCGGCTGCACCCGTGAGCCATAGTCGCTGAGCCTGCGCGTCCGGAGCCTGTGCTCCGCAACGGGAAAGATCACAACAGTGAGAGGCCCGCGTACCACAAAAAAAAAAAAAAAATTCCTAAAAATTTTTTTAAAAACTTCCTGAGGTTCTCAGTAAGTGGCAGAGCCGGATTCAAACACGGGTCTGTATGATTCCAGATCCCAGGCTTCTTCCACTACTAGTTAAAATAGTCACTGAATGGTCACAACATTGCAAAGTGAATACTATTATGTTGGTTTTACAGATGGAAACCTGAAGGTCAGAGAGAAGCAGGACCTCACCCAACAAAATGGCTTCCAGAACTCACAGAAGTCATCTCGAAGGATGACCTCAGATCTGGGTCTGATGGAGACCAGGGCAAACAGCCAGTCTGGGGGGAATATAATGGCCTCTTCTGTCCTTGCCAGTCTCCCCCTTCCCACCACACAACCAACCTCAGAAGACTCTCCAGTCCCACCCAGCCCACTTATCACATCCCTCTCTGTTCCAAACCTTTGCAGAAGTTTCCTTCTGCCTGAAACCCTTTCCCTCCAGCCTGCTAAGCTACTGTTCATCTCCAGTGATGTCCAACTCAAATGGCTCTGGGTGGTAGTCATTAGAGCTGTCCATCGGCTATTCGCAATTCTCTTGTAATTGGTAAAATTACACTTCCCCACTGAATCAATCCATTTAAGCTAAGTTATGCCCCAATAACAAAGCATGCCCAAATCATACAAGTTCATAACTATAAAGATTTGTTTCTCACTCATCTTATGCTCCCATTGTGGGTCAGCTCTGGCTCTGTTCCATCATTCCAGGATTCAGGCTGAAGGAGCAGACCCTCATGGCACATTTCTACTAAAAATCAGTAGCTAAAACAAGTCCCATGACCAAGCCTGATGTCAGTGGGGAGAGGATTACAGGGAGAGACAGCAAACATTTTGGCAATAATACAGTCTATCACAGCCTCCCATCCCTTGAAGTTATGTATGGCCATGTGACTTTCTTCATCTAATGAAATGTGAGCTAAAGCAATACCTTACTTCCAGTAGGGAGCTTTAAGAGCCAGTGTGAATCGTCGTCTTTTCTTCTATATGAGCAATCAGCAGGTGGTGGCTACTCCATCAGCCTGGGTCCCACAGTGACGACAGTGTAGAGCAGAGCCCCCAGCCAACCCTTGCTGGGTATATAGTTTGAGGAAATAACAACCTTATTGTTTAAGTACTGAGGTTTGAAGGTTGTTTGTTACTGCAGCCTAAGCTAGACTGTCCAGCTCAATACACACCTCCTTTGGAAGACTTCACTGTGCTGACAGAGGACAGTGGGAGGCGCTCAGAACTGCACAGGGACTGACCAGTCAGGAAGCTGCTGATTTTTAAGGGGGACTAAAATACCACCGGAAATGTGACAAGGTTAAGAACATGGTATTTACAGAATTACTATTCAGAAATGTACAATGCATTGTTCATTCATTCATATATTAATCAATTCATTCAATAAATATTTATCAAGCACTTACCATGGGCCTGGGACAGTGTAGGCACTGAGGATACAGCAGTGAACAAACCAACGTCTCCTCCTTCATGGAACTCACATTGGAGTAGTTGGAAAAGATGCATTGATAAGTCACTTGTGGGAGTGGTAAGCATGCTTGAACATGGGTAATAGCAGGGCTTTTCCTCTGTAGCTGCAAGTGAGGGGAGGAGCTGAACTGTTCAGAACAGGAGAGGGAGAGCTGTGGGGAACCCCAGAGAAGGTGGAGAACAAGGGCACCTAGTGTCACAAATAGTCTCCATGCACTAGATACATAGGGAATAGTAACATGAGGGACGATATGGACCAGATCTTCAGCATTTTTCAAAATTCTCTTGACAAATCAAGACCTAAAAAACAAATAAACAAAAACAAACAAAACAAAAACCCCCACTTCATTTTAGACCCAACATCTTTTTTCACTGGCTTGTGGAGGACTCTCTGTAAATACATAACTGAGCAGGACCCTATGGGGTCTTCCTGGGATGGACCCCTCCCCCATATCCTCTTCTGTAGCTCCTCTCTGAAGTACCCAGAGAGTATTTCATGCATATTTCCTGAGTTTTTCAGATGCTAAAACCACCACCAAATGGAAGAAATTAACTACTTGATGATCACGAGCACATAGTTCCCAGACCTTCTGGCGCCTAAGGATTGGTCACCATCAGCCAATCACAGCATGAGCTGATCACATACCCTGGGATGCCCCTCCCTCACCTGGCCTTTAAAAATGCTTTGCTGAAACCCTTTAAGGAGTTTGGGTTTTGGGGGGGGCATGATCCACCTGTCCTCCTTGCATGGCCCTGCAATAACCTTCCTCTGCTCCAAACTTCATTGTTTCCGTATTGTTTGCCCTTGCTCTGCATCAGGCACACGGACATGTGTTCAATAACAAATAGTTTGACCAATCAGGGGATTTCAAGGTGCAGAGTTAGTTTTCCATCCCTCCATGATCAACCACCCACTGAACAGGTGGCCAAAACCAGGATAGGGGTTTCACTATGCCAGTCTCCTTACTCCCCATCCAGGTGCCCATGGCAATTGTCCTCTGGCCGCAGCCAAGTTTACTGTACTTTCAGGGAAGGTAAGTACCTGTTCATAGTTTAAATACCCGGTCCATTCAAAGAGATACCACTTCACACGCATTAGGATGGCTATTACCAAAAAAATAAAAAAGTGTTGGTGAGGATGTGGAGAAACTGGAACCCTTGTCTATTGCTGTCAGGGTTGTAAAATGGGGCAGCCACTGTGTAAAAAAATTATGGCAGTTCCTAAAAAAATTTAAACACAGAATTATCATATGATTTGGCAATTCCTAAGTATATATCCAAAAAGAAATTGAAAGCAGGACTCAAACAGACATTTGTATGCCTATGCTCATAGCAGCATTATTCACAATAGCTAAAAGTCCATCAATGCATATGTCCATCAACAAATGAATGGATAAACAAAATGTGGTATATCCGTGCAGTGGAATATTATTCACCTGTAAAAAGGAATAAAGCACTGACACATGGATGAACCTCGAAGACATTCTGCTCAGTGAAATAAGCCAGACACAAAAGGACAAATATTGTACGATTCAACTTATAGAAAGTACCCAGATTAGTCAAGTTCATAGAGACAGCAAGTAAAATAGTGGCTACCAAGGGCTAGATGGGGACAGCATGGAAGGGACTGGAGAATGGGGAGCGATGGTTTATCCAGTACAGAGTTTCAGTTTCGGATGACAGAAAAGTTCTGGAGGTGGATGGGTTGATGGTTGCACAACAACGTGAGTGTACTTAATAACATTGAATTGTACACTCAAGGGTTAACGTGGTAAATTTTATGTTATACATATTTTACCACAATTAAAAAAAAACAGAACTCTGGTCCATTTGGGGCCACTGGGCAGAGAGAAGATCTTACTGAGGGCAGCTTCTCATGCTACCTCTATCCTCCTGCCTCAGACTGACTCCTGGGTTCTTACTCCCCACCACCAGCTTCAGCTATTGGTGGAAGCAGGAAGGGGCAGGGGAGCCCCGTTCCCCACTGATCAAGTCCATCAGTGATTGGTGATTTCCCACCCAATGGTTCAAGACCTGTTGGGACCCAGATTCAGCAAATGCAATTCCAAATGTTTTAGGGTCAGCCAAATAGGGACTAACTCCCCCTCGGTTCCGGACTATACTTTGCTTTTGGTTCCAGTGAACCAAAAGTCATAAGCTACAAGGAACGCTTTAGTCCCGGTTAATTACAATGCAAACTGCTACCCATATTTTCTTATTCTTGTCTGAAGGTGGGGGTCTTCAGTCACCTGATAGCATCCAATCCCCAGAGCTGGTGTAGTCCACATGGCCATAGAAGCCAACAAAGGTTCTTACCCACCACCCACAGCCAAACCCCTGCTGCAGCAACCAGGTGACTGGGTGGGGGAGGGGGAAGAGGGCGACCTCCCTTTCACTGTTTCACTCAGAGTAGAAGTTCAGGCCTGTGGTGACATCGCAGATCCCCTGTGTCCCTGAACTGGGACACTGATGTGCAAGCCCTTGGAAGGCAGCGTGGACACAAACAGAGCACTTAGCCAGCATGATGACTAAACCAGAGGGAGCTGAGGGCGAATGTTTCACCACCACATACTTATCCAGCAGAAAGACATCTCCAACAAAGGGCCTTGAGACCACATAATTCGCTCCATCATAGATCTTCAACTGACCTCACAGAAGAGGTGCAGCTGCCCTTGCAAAAGATGCATAACAGCAATAGCCACTCACAGTATTTTAATTCCATGTGCTTCCCCTGCAGAAGGGAAATTGTCACTTGACAGTGACAGTGACAGGGGACCTTAAGCCACATGTAGGGGCTTTCCTATAACAGTTACTTGTGTTCTCTCAGCTTCAGTTTCCCCATCGGCAAAATAGGGGTAAATAAAAGTTACCTGGTAGGTAGGCTGGTGCTTTTAATCATAGAAACTTAGAATCACAGAAGCTTTCAGCCAGCAAGGACCTTGGAGGGGTGGGGGCAGTCCCTGGGACATCAGCCACTCCTCCCAGGCCAGGAATTCCCTTTCCAACTTCCTTTCCACATGTTCATCTAGCTGACTTTATTTGCACATTCCTGAAGACAGAGAGCTCGCTCCCTTTCAGTTCTTGAACAGCAACTCTGACTGATAGCAGTTTATTTCGACCTCCCTCCCACTTCTTGCTTCTAGCTCTGCTCTTTGAAACCACACAGTACAAATCAGTCTAAATTCTCTTCCCCATGACAAGCCTCTGACAATGTGAAGGTCAAGATTGAGTCCACCTCTAGGGAAAATACCTTTAGCTCATTTCACAGATGAGAAAATCGAGGTCCAGAGAGATACTGGGAATTGCTCAAGATCACAAGCCCAAATTCCCACGTGACGGACAGCAGAGCAAGGGTCATCTTGGAGTCTAACTAATACACAACAA